TTATTTCTTAGTTATACTATTTATACACACTATGCTTGAAAATTAACCATATATTTAATTAAATATATGGTTGAAAATATGGTTGAAAATGAAAATGAGCCAGAACCGGCAATTTCCTACTACTTCTAATGATGGCGTATTTAAAGCACTTTTTTTAGTGAAAATTTTACTTAAATAATGAAACACTTTTGCGCTCCAAGGTGCTCCAGAAATTTTAGACTTAAAATATCTTGCTCAATATGTACATTATCGATATATATTTTACCTATTGTCGGCGGGTGTCAGCTGCGTCTCTATTAATGATTTTTACGTTTCATCTTTGGGGCAGGGGGGCTAACATTCTGGTTTTTCTTTGTGTTCCCAGGCTCCAATCATCGCAATTTTTTAGCAATTCATATTTTTATCACATTAAAATAAACATATAAATATTTGGAGTTTGTCTTCCAATTGTCATTTCCAAATGTCTCATAAATAGTATATTTTTTGTATTTGAAGGCTGAAAATGAAATATTTTGATATCTATGCATTCATTATGCATAAGCCTAATAATCTACAAATATCTGGCATTGTGGACAAACTTATTGATGCTATAAATTTGGATTGCAACAGGCAGCAATTAGGAATTATAATAACGCATCTACGAGATAAGTGGCGCAAGTCATATTGCAGCATGGCTCAATTTGAAGAAAAGAACAAAAAATGGCTGCAAAGCCATGTTCCTGAAAATTTAAATGTAACACCAATACCTATTGGAAGACCAAATAAGACAAACTTTGATGACTACTCTACTAAAACCAAAAAACATAAAGTTAGTCACTTAACTGAAATGTATTCTGCTTCTGCGTTACAATTAGCTTCAGTAATTAAACGAAGAATAGTAAACCAAACTGAAAAAAACTTCAAAAAAAGATTGTAGAATGTCTAAAGATGAAGCTCTGTGTCTTCTTTTAGATGCTAGATTGACAAAAGCTTTTTATCAAATTATTTGAAATCAAGCAGTTGAAATGGGAGTTGATATGTATTCTCCATATAATGATGTTCGGGATGCAAAGCTGTTATGCTATCCTGCAGATATATCTGTCTCAGACTTAATAATATATCTGTCTCAGCTGAAATAAAACTGCAAGCTTTGGTCGATCATACAGCAAATAGAATATGCAAGGCACAGTATGATGTCCTTAGCACTGAAGGCACTCCAGATAGACTTTCTCTGAAATACAAAATAGGCTTTGATGGTGCCACAGGACAGTCTATATATAAACAAATATCGCAAGGAACAGTAATAAAAAATTTAAACAATGAGCAGGCACTTTGTATTACTTGCCTAGTGCCATTAGACTTGTGTGGTTTTTCAAATGGAAAACAGTACCCAGCTTGGCGAAATCCACGACCATCATCAACAATATACTGTAGACCTCTACGTTTTAAATTTGAAAAAGAAACGACAGCAGTTTCTAAATCAGAATTCGAATCTCATTAGGGTTGAGATTTCAAACTTACAAGATACTGAAGTTGATATAAATAATAAAAAAATCAAAATACATCATATAATACAAATTACTATGATTGATGGAAAAGTTCATACTGCTCTTTTAGATGATACAAATTCAGGTCAATGCTGTTCTAAATGCGTGGCAAGTCCTACAGCAATGAATGATGTTGAAAAAAAGGTTTTGAAAAAGAGTATGGCAGGTAGTTATTTATTTGGTTTATCATCCTTACATGCTTGGATACGATTTTTTGAATGTTTATTACATATTGGATATAAAATAACTTTAAAAAGGTGGCAGGCAAGAACAGCAAAAGATAAATCTAAAGTAAAGGCTCTGAAACAACAAATTCAAAATAGATTTAAAGATAAAATGGGCTTGATAGTTGATGTTCCGAAATCTGGTAGTAGTGGAACATCAAATGATGGAAATACGGCTCGAAGAGCATTTCAAAATGCGGAAAAGTTTGCGGAAATTTTAAATATTGATAGTGAACTTATTCTAAATTTTCATATTATATTAGCAATAATTTCATGTGGTTTAGATATTGACACTGATAAATTTGAGGCTTTCTGTTTAAAAACAGCTCGACTTTATGTTCATCATTATCCTTGGTACTATATGCCACAATCTCTCCAGCAAATTTTAATCCATGGTTCTGAAATTATCAAAGTTTAGCATTACCCATTGGTATGTATTCTGAAGAAGCTCAAGAAGCACACAATAAAGACTTTCAAAACTATCGTGAACATTTTGCAAGAAAACCATCTCGTGTGAAAACTAATCAAGATTTGTTAAATCGACTTCTGTGTGCATCTGATCCATTTATTGCATCTCTGAGAAAGAAAGCAGGAAGTCACACCAAAACAAAAAACTTACCAGCTGGAGTTATTGACTTATTGAGGTCATCCACAGATGATATTAGTTTATAAATGTATCTTTTGTATCTTTATAATTTTGGAAATGTCTGTACCTATATGAAAGTGTGATTGTAAATTAAAACAATTAGTTATGCTCAATCCTATTAGAATCATCAAATTAATTTGCATACCAATTTTAGAAACATTTGGCTAAAAATAACCCTTAGGAACTAAGCATAAATATGTGTTGCTATGCAAATGGGGTTGCCCTGGCAACCACACCAAAAACAATGCTCATTTAAATTATAATCATCCAATTAATTTATATACCAATTTTTGAAGCCTATGGATGAAAGGAAAAAAAGTTGTGACTTTTTTCCAAAAATATGGGATTCTGGCCCGCTGTGCGCCGATGGCCTACTATATTCACGGCCGTATATCTTACATTTTGAGGGGGAAATTAGGAGGTCAGTTTTGAAAGTTTTAGACATAAAATACGCTAAAATATTATTTTTAAAAACATTCTTTCTGAATTTACTAACGTTTAAAGAATTTATATTAAAAATGGTCAATAAATGTGCTGTACCAAAACGTACAAACGAGATACTTATGCAACAAACACAAACAAATTGCATTTTTTCATTTTCTAACAGACCGAAACTTAAATCAACTTTGGATACGATTTATTAATCGCTCAGATTAGACTCCTACAAATCATTCTGTTTTATGTAAACTTCATTTTGAAAATAAATATATAATTAGAGAAGATAAATGCACCTTGAATTGGCTTTTAAAACCTGTTCCTTCTAAGTATTTTTGTGAACTTTTGCAAAACAAATCATCTTTACCAGTTTTAAAAACTTATCGAATTCCTCCTAAATAGAGAATATTCCAAAAAAAATCAGTTAGAAATATTTAAGAAAAATGATACAAGTACAAATCTACATAATTTGAATGAAGCAGTAGCACCACCAGGGTTTCAATTTAAACGATTTGAAAAAGGTTTTGTATTTTATAATATAGTATTTAATGAACAAACATATTTTCCAACTATATTAGAATCAATCACAGTTGATGTAGGCCTAAATGTACGTTTGCAATACAAAGGAACACTACTTCCATTATCAAGTTGGTTTGTTATAGGACATAATGCAAAACTTGATAAAATTAGTATGCTTGAAAATTTTCCTTCTTAAATGTATTTACAAAAAGCAGTACAATATCAAGGAGGAGAGTATATTGGTTCTGACAAAGAAGGTAACTTGTACAAAGGAATTGTCGTATTCATGATAATAGGACTAAAAGAATCTATTCCTTTTATTGTTTAACCATTTCCAGAAGTCACATTCTCTGGAAAATGGCTATAGCAAAATATAACTGACAATCTTAAAAATTTAATCGGCGTGGTATAGTGACAGACAATCATTCCACTAATGTTAATTAGTGTTTGTCTACATGTTAATGCATTCTCATCATAAGTTACAATGTTCAAGTCTGAATCATAAAATTTTATTATTCACCTACAGAATCATAGAAAGAAGATATTTGCTTTATGATGGTGTGCAATTAGTAAAAACTCTTAAAAATAATTTATTAAATGGTAAAAAATTTGTTTTTCCAGACTTTAAATGTCATAATGCAAATATCAATATTGATTTTCCATCACGATATATTAATTGGGAAGATTTTTTCAAGATTTACCATAATGATGATGGTCTGAAAACTAAATTTAGAAAAGTTCCAGAGCTTACATCCTGGAAATAATAAACAATATATTGTCCAAATCGATAAGATGTTTCAAATTTTTTAACTATTTTTAATACTTGGTAGACAATTGCTAATTCCAAACAAAGGTTTTCACCAAATATTATTGGCAATGCTATTGTGTTAGGAGACAATATGGATTGATCAGAGGTCTTTTATGCCTGCATTCACGCTCACAAATCAAACTGCATCAGCAATTGTAAATACACTCTTTAGTCGAATGGTTCTTCAAAGAACCTTTAAGGGTTCTTTGCGTTGACGCTGGTGGAGCACCCGTCAAGGTTCTTCAAAAAACCATTTGAAACGGTTCTTTGGAAGAACCTTAAAATAAGGTACTTTAAAGAATCCGTTAATAACGTTATAGTTTTTTATCGAACCGTTCATTGTTTTTGCATTATTGTTAACGTTACACGGATACTTTTTTGAATTCTTGAACATTTTTTATTATTAAATATTTATATATTATATAATTATTTAATAGATTTTTAATATTCAATTATTCTTATTTAAGATATTCAATCAAGTTGCTTTACACCAAAATTTTAATGTTAACACGACTTTCCTAAAAATTCAATTTATATTGCAATATATCGTCCGCCCAGAATACAAGTGTCGTATTCGACATTTTTCAAAAAAATGACTTAAATATGCGAATTTTCTAATTTCAAAAAAATTTTCCGATAGCTCAATTAAATTTTTTTCCAATATAGACCTTTTCGTTGTTTTGATTTTGCGAATCAAATGCGCATGCGCGCGTCTTTGGCAGTTTGCAGATTTGCAGATTTGGCAGTTACAGATTTGCAGTCAAAGCAAATCGATTTTAGAGCTAAACAGTAAATATTAATTAGCGTCTTTTAATAATATAGAAGTAAAAGGTTTAATTTATACAAAGTTTTTTTAATAATCATTTATATTTATAAAATAGTATGCCTGACGTGTGTTGTGCCTTTGGATGTACAAATAGAAGAACATTAGCTAATGCTCATTTGAGTTTTTATCGAATACCAGCTAATAAATCTGAATCTTGTGCTAACAGAAGAGACAAATGGGTTGCAGCAATTAAAAGAGAAAAATAAAACGTAAAACAAATAAATAATGCTCGTTTGTGTAGTGCTCATTTTACTACAGATAAGATTTTTAGTTTTCCATTCAGTATCTTTTGTGTTCTAATAGTTTTCATGTAATTTTTATATTTAAATAAAAATAATAAAAAATAAACTCTTAAAACTTTAAGTATTCTTACTTATGGAATAACTGATAATCATCTTTTTTAGGGAAAAATCAGTCATATTGATTATGTTTCAACTGTATTTTCTTTTAAAAAGACACATGGAAAACAAATTAATCTCATGAATCAGGCTATACTAGATTTAATCTCATGAATCAGGCTATACTAGAGAATCTTCAGTGTTGAGTACTCTTATGAGCACATACTTATGAGATATGTCATTGGTGTTTGCATAATGCTGGCCCACTACTCTGTAGTTTTAGCACTTTGGCATGACACAACAAATGTTTTAAATTGCTTTAAAACAGTTTTCTAGTAATATTGCTAAGATTATCTTAAATAATAAATATTTACATTACTGAAGATTCTAAAGGACAAAAATATTGCCTAATATTGTTATAATTGTGTTTGTATATATATATATATATATATATATATATATATATATATATATATATATATATATATATATATATATATATATATATCCCTTTAATGCATGGGAACCTTAAACATGATAAAATTTTAAAATTTTTTGGCAGATTACTCAAATTACTTGATATAATCAAAATCCATTGTTGTTTTTTAATTTTTACATTGCCTTCCTGGAGATATTCAGCGTCCATTGAAATGAACATTATGCATTTAAGGAAGTAAATTTACAAAAATTTAACAAGACAGTTTGTTGTTTGTTTACATTTATTTTGCTCCATGAAATGCTCGGAAACATACATTATTAGCTATGCATAAATACACTTTGCATTTGGTACACTGATATTTAGTTTTCTTTTTGCATAGTTCGCATTTGCAACGTTGTGAATTTGGATTCTCCATTAGAGCTGGCCAATGTTCAAATCATGAGTCAATTGAATCTTTGCCGATATAGTTTGATAAAGTGAGCACACGCTTGTTATCATGCCAAGTTGTTATTACAATTTTTGAGGAAGAATCAACAAACTGTTCAATGTAACCTTGACCAGATTTTTTCATTTTAGATTCATTTGAAATTGGGCATGCTCGAGATCGATTTGCATTTAATGTAACTTGGTGCAAAAGGTCCTTGAGGAGGACCTTTTTCCACCAAGACCACCTTCAACTTCAAAATCATAAATATACCCAGAAAGTCCTGCTCTTGCCCACAATTTGTAACCCCACTTTTTTGGTTTCTTAGGAAGATAGCGTTTCAAAGAATGAGCTCCTTTAAAAGGAATGATTTGTTCATCTATTGACATATGAGTTTCTGGTTTTACGATTTGAAGAAACTGTTTCGGAAATGATTTATTAGTGGCTGAACCTGAAGCATTTATTGTAATTTTCACAATCCTTGTCGGGGATGTTGTTATTATCATTAAAATGTATCACTGATAAAATCTCATCAAATCGGTTGATTGACATGGATGATGCAATAAGGTCATTTCGTGTTCTTGATTTTCAATACATTCTTCGGTTGGGTAGTTTTACAATTCCCATATATAGTACAATGCCGATAACATCACTTATTTCTTGGCGTCTTATTTCTTTTACTCTGGGCGCGCCATGCTGTAGATTTCTCCATTCATTGTACAAAAGAGTTTGTTCCAATATAAAGTCAACATGTTCTGTGGCGAGATATAGGTGGTAAAATTCAATTGGATTAGAAAAGCGTGAAAGGCCTAAATGTTCTGGAAAAGCATCAGTATTTAGTGATAACTTTTGGCTTAAATGAGCACAGGTATTATCATTTCTTGGATAAAATCTACGGTTGTTCGGAGTGGGAAGATTTTTTTCTCCAAACATCTCATTAACAGTTAACTTCAAAATTCTTTTTATATCACTTAGATTTGAAATGCTTTGTTTAACAAACTCAGAAATTTTACTTGACAACCGATAGTCTATTTTTTGAGACAGAAGTTCACTCTAAACAATATTTTTACTGATATAGTTTTCTACTACCGTTAGGGTGGTCCATTTTACCATTTTTTTTTTGTTTAAATTAATAAGACATGTTGACTTCAGGGTTGACTTATGTTGACTTATGTAAGACATGTTGACATGTTGACTTACTTCCTTTTGGTCTAAAAATGAACTGTGCAAAGTTTCAGGTTGAAAAAAATATTTTTAGGGGTTGCTAAAGAATATGTAACTTGTGACTTGACTTGAAGTTCAAGTCAAATCACATTTACACTATAGCTAAAGTCAAATTCCAACTCTTATTTTAGCTTATCAAGTTAAGTAAAAAAAAAAAAGAAAGTGATTTATATATTTATAGTTGTAAATTTTTAACTCGAGGGATTTTAAATTTGAAGACCACAGCTCTAGTTCCAATAAACAGTTATTAACAGACATGTGGTGCATAATGACTTACACTTTAAGTCATTTTACAGAACACAATATAAAATAATTAAATCTTTAGTTTTCAGTTGTGTTTTAAAATAAAATAAGCAGCACATAGCTATCTCTTATAGGATTGCCAAATAATTTAACATTTGAATAAAATAATACATAACACATAATGATCTTGAATAATAAACATAACATAGGCATATAAAATATATTGTATAAGATGTACAGGAAATATTTCTAATAAAAAAAATAATATTAAATGAAGAGACTAATGCAACACTAATTCGCAATTAAACTAACTAAATTAGTAACATACTAAAATACTAATAGGGAATGGAATTAATAACTGAAAAAAAAAAATTAAAGTAAATCAATATACTATTAGGTAATGTCAAATACAGCAGTCAAATACTCCCAATATTTGAAATACTAAGTATTTAAAATACTATTTTTAGTACTTTTTTTGTATGTGTATTTTAAATACTTTTGTAGGAAGTATTTAGCATTTTGACATAAAATACTTTTGATTAGTATTTTGTACTCATTGCAATTACCTGTAATTCAAATACTTCTTTAAACATCCACCATGCACATGCATATTTAACTAATTGTTCGTCAAAGATTCACTCTGCCACTATTTATTCTGATTTATTTTTTGTTTTATAACTCTTACTGTCTACCTTGGTTTAATTTGGGTGATTATTAAATTACTTCACATTTATCAAATAAATTTTGAAAAAGGCCATAGTTGTAAGTTTTGGTAAAGTATTTAGTACTTTAAATACTTTTTAAGTATTTAAAATAAGTATTTATAAAGCATTTTATCCAGCACTGCTCAAACAAACAAAAAATAATGCAAAATTAGAACATATTAAGATGAATTGTTAAGATTGCTGATTTTCTTTTGCTTTTATATATTTCTGCTTTTTACAAATTTTATATATTTCTGCTTTTTACAAGAATTTTGATCAAAGCCAGTCTAATCTTTTTGTTGACAGAACAATAAAAGGAGTGTTATGAAAGTCTGAGGACATTTCCCACAATACTTTGTGCTTATCAGCATGCATATCTAAATAAATATTTAACTTATAAAATCTGTTTTGAATGGTATGTACTTATATTTATTGTAATAGAAATAAAGTTCACAATGAAGTGGAAAAAAGTAATAAAACTTTATTTCTATCAAATAAAAGGAAAACTAGCCATGTGTGTAAAATGAAACAGTCAAGTTGATTAGAGATGATGATTAGAAGACTTCAAAATTAAACCAAATATACTGATTCAACAACTTTTTGTCTCTTTAATCTTTATTTTGGCTGGTCATTTTTGCTGTCTTCCTTTTTTGTCTCCAGAGCAGAAGTTTAGCCTTTTGCTAAACTCAATCTTGTATTGCTATAAATCAAGTAATTAATATATAAGTTATAACTTAAGTTAATGTATAAGCCTAAAGTTGTTAACTGTTGTACGCAAACTAAATATAAAAAATATCCATAGATATTAAATTAAAAAATACAACCAAGAATAATGCCCCTCTGCCTCAGAGAGATGGAATAAATAGGGTTATTTTGATTTAAATCATGATTTAAATCAGACAAATAAAAATAATGATTTGAATTGAGTTTTTTTATTTTAATTGTTTTTAATGATTATTTATTGATTTAATCTCATAATTCAATCAATTAATATAGACTAGTCATTGGTCTTAAAATAAAATGCCTGAAAATATTAGAAAGCTCTAAATAAGTAGAATATAAATTCTAGTAACATCACTTTTTCTTCACTGTTTTAATACGTTAGTAGATGGGGTTTCATAATTATTATATAGGCCAATTTATTACATCCAAGTCATTAATAGTTCTGTATAGTTATATTACATCACCTCTTGATCTTCTAATTTTTAATGTGGAGAGAAAGGTTTTTCAGTGAGTTTTTACATGATAAATTTTTTTAAACTACAAACACAAACTGCTCTATTTTGGTGTTGTTTAATCATAATAACATGTTTCCGTATATGTAAACTCCTTAATGGGGTTAAATATTTAAGGTGAGATCTAAAATATGTTATATTTCTTTTATCTAATAATTTCAAGAAATATTTGGTTTGGCATAAAATCAAACTTCCAAAGTCATTTTTTCTCTATAATTTCATTTTTAAAACGCTTTCATTAAAAGTTATAGAGAATTGCCAATAATGATGCTATTAACCTGGTTTTTGTTTTAGTATGTAGCATGTATTTTTATACATTTTATTTTAGTATGTATACTCCAAACTTTCTGCAACTGTGATGTTAAAACTCCATTCTATAGGTTTGATTTCTCAAGACATGAAATTTTTAACTGAGTTTTGGTCCATAATAATCCATGTACAACATGTTTTAATAAATATATTTGTAAGTATCCTGCATTTGGTTGTAATTGTAAATTTTCATTGTGATATTCATTACCTTTAAGTTTCAAAAGTTATAAAAAGGTCCTTAAATCAAGTCTGTGTAACTATAGTTTGTTATTAATGGATTGAACTTTTACGTAAATATTAAAAATAATTGTTATTGTAACATGATAACCATGTTGTTTATAAGTTGTGACTATTTTGTATATATGTTGTTACTATATTGTATAAGAATATATGTAATAAATTATTAAGTTGTGCTTATGTTTGTTTTTATCTTATTGAAGTTAAAACGGAAGCAAGCACTAAAGAAGACAACAACGTTACAAATTGAAGCAGAAATTTAACAAATCATTTTGACGATTGGATATGAATCGCAGAAAAGCACCATTATTGAATGTTTATGAATCAAATCTTTGTATTGTAATTAGGGATGCACCGAACGTTCGGCTGTTTTGCCGAACGTTCGGTTCGGCCGAACCTTGACAAATGTTCGGCCGAACATTTGCTAAAAATGCTAATTTGGAAATTAATATCATCAAATCATCATAACTCAGCCTAAATAGCTACAGTACCAACAGATTTGGCTTTTTATTGAAAACCCGAAACTTATCTACAACGCATAGTAGGTAAGAACATGTTTTTCAATAGAACACATGAGTACGTTAGATTTACATCAAGTTTTTTGAATTTAGAATAAATTTAATTTGATCGCATGTATTACTTAAAACTGAATGTATTACGTAAAACTAGTTTACATCATTTAGAAAAAATAGTACTAGTATAAGTGTAAAATAAAAAATCCTTTCAATTGAGCAATAATTTAGTTAATTTTATCCTTTTATATACAATAATAATAATAATAATAATAATAATAATAATAATAATAATAATAATAATAATTTAAGTTATAAAATTTATGCAAGAAGCAAATTTTTTATTTTGGAAAAATTGCAAAAATGTAATATAAGATAAACTTAAAATAACAGATAGAAACGTCCGTTTTAAGTGGCGCCTATTGCTGCTGTGTTAAAAAAAAATCTTTATAAAGAAAGTTGGTAAATGATGCTACCTGTACTAAAAAGTCTTTCACTTTCAACAGAAGATGGCGTTGCTGAAAGAAACTTTTGGGTAATTTTCTTTAAATTTTTAAAAGAGCTTCCACAATTTTTCCACCACAAAAGAGGACTTTCTTTTTCCTTGACAAGAGGTAGCTTTAAATACTCTTCAATCTCCTTGTTTATCATTTGTATATTAGAATTTGATCTTTTTAACCTTTTGCCATTTTCAGTATTTACAAAATTGGAATCACATTCATCTATTGTTATCAGTTTAGAAACTTTCTGAAAACATTCATTGAATTTTGGATAAGCTGGTTTTGTAATTACTTCATTTGTGTTATGTACTGAAGGTTCGTCAAAATCAGAATCAGAGGATTCAAGTTCTAAATTACTTTGTTGCATTTCTTGCATCTGTTCATTTATCCAATTTTTTATTTTATCCTTGTCTTCCTTTTGATATGTCAATTTATATCTAGGGTCACAAAAAGTGGAAAGATATAAATATTTATCATGTAAATATGGACCCAATCTTTTGTCTACTGACCCACTTAAATGTTCAACTAAAGTATTTATTAATAAAAAAGCCTCACATACTAATGTTTGACTGAAAAATTCTTTCAGAGCCGTAATTGAAGGAATAACATCTGACAAATATGATTCACATTTACTGAAATTAATGGTTAAAGTTTAAAATGGTTCTAAAATATGCAACACTTTATCTAATAAGTCCCATTGAAATGAATTTAGTGTTGATTGGATAGGATGATCAGCTGTATAAGATGCTAAAGGAACTTTTTGATCAAGCATCCTTTCAATCATACCATAAGAACTGTTCCATCTTGTAGTAATATCTTGGATTAACCTGTGCTTATTTGTACCAAGTTGTTCCTGAAATGCTTCTAATTTTGCTGCTGCTGTTGGGGAGTGGTGAAAATGAGTTGCCAGACGTCTGCAACAAGCTAAAAGTATCTTTAACAGATTTTTGCGATAGAATTGAGTCATGTATACATAACTGTATTGTATGTATAAAACATGGCATTGATCTAAAACCACTGTCTCTTACACCAGCTACCATAATGGCCGCATTATCTCGTAAAACAATATGAACTTTTGAGTGTGGAATTTCAAAACTTACTAAACCTTTATTTAAATACTCACTTATGTTTTTTCCTGTGTGACTTTCTGGAAAATGCATAACTCTGAGTACTGCTCAGTGCTGGGAAAATTCATTACTGAGCCAGAGTGCTGTCATGCTTATGAAGGCAACATTTGAACTATTTGCTGTCCAAATGTCAGTTGTAAGAGAGATATGAATGGCAGCAGATATATTACTCTTGATAGAACTATATAGTTTATTATATATTTGTGGAATAATGTTTTCACCAAAATATCTCCTACTAGGTATTTGATAATTAGGACACAGCTCTTCAATTAATTTTCTAAAACCAAGATCTTTTACAATCGAATATGGTTGAATGTCCAACGCCATCATTTCTCCAATGTGATTGTGAACTTTGATAGCTCTTTGATCATTTACATCCCATAGCTTTTTTTATTAAGACTCTCCAGTAATTTTAATTGTTTTTTTAGTTCAGAATCACTTGATGTAGAGGCTGTAGATGTTTCAATTTTTTTTTGTCAGACTCTTTTTTAGCTATTTTATATTCTGCAAAGTGCTTGTTTTTTAAATGACGTCTAATTGCACTTGTGGTGAATGTTTTAGGACAATTCCCACCTCTAGAAAGTAATGCTTTGCATAGTAGGCAAATACAAAAATGATTATCTTTCTCTGAAACTTCAAAATATTTCCAAACAGTACTTTTGAATTTTATTTTTAAAGACATTTTTTTATGCTTCTAAATAATTAAAAGTATATACTAATAAATAAATAAAGTTTAAGTAAAAAATATAATCTTAAAACATGTCAGATACTAGGTTTTAATACGTTATACCTTTATACCTTATTTATATCATTTATGAAACTTTTATATTTGTAGAAGAGAGTACAAATTTAGCTTAAATGTTATAACATATAAGCTAAGCTTTTAGTATAGTCTACAAATATAAAAGTTAGCTAAATAGCTTAACTTTAAGCCTTAACATTAACAATTAACAACTATTAAAATAAATCCTTAACGTAAAATATTATTTTAAGAAGTTTAATTTATAAATTACAATATAATTTTATTATATTATAATTGTTAATTATTTATACTCATTATTAATAAGTTACTAGCAGTAAGCAACCCGTAATACGCGTTGTTAGTAAATAAAATTGAAAAAAAAACCGCGTATAGAAAAGCCTAGAAACTACTTTAAAATAGAAAAGCCTAGAAAATGACGTAACTCGACTAATATTAAATTAGCGTATTCATATTATCAGATACTCATTATTAATAAGTAAAACTCATAAATTTAATTTTTTATTATTGAATAATAAAAAATTAAATTTACGAGTATTACTTATTAATAATGAGTATAACTTATTAATAATGAGTATAAATAATTAACAATTATAATATAATAAAATTATATTGTAATTTATAAATTAAACTTCTCAAAATAATATTTTACGTTAATTTATTCAAATAAAAACTTCTTAACATTTTTACTTCTTTACACTACATTGTAGTGTAGTGACTACAAACAATCATCTAATAATACATTTACTTTTAATAGTTATTTAAAGTTTCTTCACATATTTTCAAAATAAATCTAATGTTTTAAAAAACACATTAATTTTTTAAAAATATAGTTTTCACTTCGAGTTCAAAATGTTTATGACGTAAACCAAACTATAAGTCGTGTAGACATAATACTTTCTCAGTATGTTTATGTTATTAAATTCTTTATTTGCCTGCATAAATTTTCAGTTTGCAAATATAACAATTTGAAATAAATATTAAAATAAAAAGTTCATAAATTTGTCATCTGGTCACGTGACCGGGGCAAGATGACTTATTATGCAATTTTTACCTCCAATTTTATAAAACTTTTAAAACTACCAATAACTCTAACTAAAGTAACAAAAAATAAACACAAATTGCAAAAAACTACTTCTAAAGAAGTTAAACTTGAAGGGCACCATTAAGGGAGGTCGATTTTGTACTTTTTTCAAAATTTTAACTTGCTGTGCCCTCAAATAGCTGGGAAATCATGTCAGGAATTAAGAACAATCTTGCTTTTTTTTTCTATGCAAGCCAAATTTTTCGCAAACGAAAAGAAAAATTCAGTAAAAACGTCAACTTTACTAAAAATCTATGCAACAATTGAAGAGTGTAATCCAAAAAAAGTAATTTTATATTTTCCGATTTTTAGATCTCTTGCTTCCATTTACAGTACGAATGTTGCTGTGTCGTTATAAATAAGCAAAATCATTACCGAAAATTTCCAGTTACCCCTAACTTTACACTTAAAAATTGCAAACCATACGTTATTAGATAATTCTTCAATTTTTTTTAATAATCAAAACTGTGGCATTCCCGGTCTTACTTTGCAGCCTATAACTATATACTATTTTTAGTTATAAAACAGTTTAAATACAAGTTGAGGTTGAATTTTACAGGGTTGCATGACAGTGACAAATCCAAGAATTTTTGGTGGGGGGGAAGGGGGAGTGAATTTATTTTTGTATTTTGTATGAGATTTAAGTCTCCTAAAAAAAATTCCTCTATTTCTAAGAAATTTTAGTACTTTCAGATTCCGGTTGTTCATGCATCTTTCCATTTCCCCTGCATTTGTCACTGTTGTATGAACTTGTGAAAAAAGGTAGCAAAAAAGTAGCTGCGTTCGTGAAAAAGTAATTAAACTTTTTTTTAATAATTTTTAAATTTTTTTTTAGTTTTTAAAATACTCGAAGATTATCAAACAAAGAGGGATTAATTTTTTGTTCAAATTAGGTATTATAAAATTTTAATTTAACACTCATTATACAACGTTACAGCTAAACAAAAGTATTTCGTTTTAGATTGAAAAAAATAATTAGTTTTCAAAATATTCTCAGATCCTCAAGTGCAATCATTCCATATACCAAGTAGAGCCCGGCCTTAGCTTCCTAAGTATAATTTAACAATATTAGTTTATTAGTTTATTAGTTTATTTCGCCGTTAAAAATATTTACAAAGTACAACAATATAAGAAGTACAATTGGCTGGAGCAAGAAGAAGGCATAAAATAGCCTTATCACCGAGCCCCAATAGTTACGCAAATAAATATCCGTAATACACAATAATCCGTAATATATACGCAAAAGTATTTTAAAAAAGACAATTTAAAATGTTAAGAAACAAAGTTAAAAAGAAGAAAAAAAAAAAAAAAAAAAAAAAGTATTAATATAATTAAAAAAAAATAATAATAAAAAGAAATGATTAAAATATAGTAATAAAAATGACAAAAAATTTCTGTTTTTGGTTATAAATTAGATGTGATTCGATATATATATATTTGTATATATTATTTTCTTTCAAAATAGTTCAAAATTCAGATAAAAATTCTGTTCCAATATTATAAAATATATCAAGAAAATTGTCGGTAACTTTCAGAGAATATATATATTCAATGAAAGTATGATAAAGACATTGAAATTCTTAGTACTGTTAAATGGTCTAGATTTTTAAATTTATGGTGCTAATTTAGTTTAATAAATTTGAAAGCTTTAAAAGTGACATAGAAGATCTGCTATATTAAAATCCGTAAGTACTAAATAACGTCTTAATTTAGATTTGAATTGCGGAAGTTTTTTTTCTTTAATATTAACAATATGCTGAAAGTTTTTCCACAAAATTGGACCCCTGTACTGAATTGAATAAGAACATAACTTTAGATTATACTTTTGAGTTACAAAGTTATTTTTTGAGAACTTGGTGGGGTATTTATGGCTTACTTCTCTAAAATAAGGATAGAATATCGCTGGAGACAGTCCATGTTTTATTTGATACATGAACTGTATGACGAGGAATATGTTAATTTTAAACACATTTAATGCATTGAGTTTACGTAAAAGTGGCTCACAAGGCACAGTTCTTTTAACTCCAAATACAATTCTACATGCATGTTTTTGTTTAGTTTAGTTTAACAATAGTTAAAAAAATTTTATATATGGCTTATATATGGCTTATATATGGCTTATATATGGCTTATATATGGCTTATATATGGCTTATATATGGCTTATATATGGCTTATATATGGCTTATATATGGCTTATATATGGCTTATATATGGCATATATAAAAAAAATTTTATATATGGCTTCACTTAATTATTATCCATATCTTGAGACCACTTTTGAGAAAAAATCTTGAAGCGGGAACGTTTTTTTAAAACGAAACTTTTGGAGGTAAGGATTCCGAAGTACCAAAACAAATCCAATTTTTATAAAACTTTCCGTATATATTAAAAAAAGGTTGAGGAATCTAATGGAATGTGAACACTTTTTAACATTTATACATAAATTTTTAGTTCTCAGTGTTTAAAAACTTCAAGGTTAATTATTATTGAAAAAAAAGTGATTTTTGAAAGTGTTCAGGTGGAAATGGCAAGTTTAGCCTTTCCTCTTTTTAAAACAAGTGTTTAATTATGTTTTCTTAAAAAATAGGTGCTTCGGATTTGTATATTAGAATTATGTATACACCATTGGCCATAAATTAGAGCTCACTTTTTTTTTTTATAAAATATAATTTTTAAATAAAATTAATTGAAAATAAAAGTTATTTTTTATTTTTTAATATTATAAGTAAAATCTTTATACATTATGGAAATCCAAAAAGCTAAATATAAACATAACAGTCTTGATACTAAAAAATGGAAAATAATGAAACAGGTTATTTTTTTTCAAAAAGAAAATTGACCAAAAGTTAAGGATATTTTCCAAATAAAATATAAGAACAACAATTTACTAGAGCAAAACCAAAAAAAAAAGCATTCTAATATTTTGTAGAACCTCCTTTCTCATGTAAGCATTGATTTACTCTCTTTGGCATTGAGTTTACAAGATTTTGAGTTATTTCTTTAGGTCACGCAGTTTTCTTATTTCAGTTTTTATTTGTTCAACATTTAAAATTTGAATTTTTCCAAGATGATGATCTAACCAAGACCATAAATTTTCTATACAATTCAAGTCAGGGCTGTTAGCAGGCCAAGACATTATTGATATTTGGTTTTCTAAAAACCATCGTTTGGATATTTTTGCTGTATGGCATGACGCACCATCTTGTTGATATATGATATTCCTGTTTTCTTCTTTAAATATATCAATTGAGGGAAGAAGACAATTATCTAAAATTTCAATATATCTATCAGCATTAAGTCGACCTTCAAATAATCGATAGCATCCAAGTCCTGCATAATTCATGCAAGCCCAAATGCCAATACTGTCACTACCTTGCTTATTTCGTTTTAATGTACAATTTGAATCAAATCTCTCTTGAGGTGATCGCTGGAGCATAGCACGGCATTTTCGCATATCTACCTCCACATCATTTCATCGGAGAATATAACATTTTGCCACTTGCAATCAGGCCAATTTTTATGCTGATTGCACCAGGCAATCCTTGCCTTTTGTTGTTTCTTTGAAAGTCTTGGCTTCTTGTATGCAGATCGCCACAATTATTTATATGAAGAATTCTTCTAACAGTTCTTGAACTCACTTTTATTCCAGATGTATTGTTTAAATTATGGCAGAGAGCGTTTGACGATAACTTTCTGTCATGTTTCATTAAACGAATTAACAAACGTTCATCTCTTTGTGTTGTTACAGCTGGTCAACCAGATCGGCGTTGGTCCTTAATATCACCTGTTTCACTAAAACGTTTTAAAAAACGTGCAACAATTGAATATGCGATATTTAACTCATTGCTATCTGACGATGAGATAGTCCTTGGTTTCAAAGAAAAATTGATTCAACATTTTTTTTCAGAGATTCTTGATCGTGATTTTGGAGTTTTATGCTGTATTTCTTCACTCATTTTGTAACTTTTTTATTATTTAATTTATTTGTGTTTTTTTAGCACTATTTCAAACAAAAACAAAAAAAAATAAAAAATAATAAATGCAGATAAAAATAAAATAAAAATTATTAAAGAAAATCATCAATATATTACTTAAAATTTAAATATAAAGCAGTGAGCCTTAACTTTTGACCAACATAAAAAATTAAAATTATTTAGTAGTTGTTATCAAATTATATATAATTAGGCGTAAAAAATAAATTTTAAGGAAACAACATGTCAAATAAACAGTAAACATAATACTTATTAATTAATACTAATAAATTTTTGAAAAAATATATAATAGTTTTTAAAATAATTTAAATCAAACAGGATTATAAAACAAAAACAAAAGCGAGTTCTAATTTATGGCCAATGGTGTATATACATCCATATCACTTTGCGTATTTTATGACGTTTTTTGTTTTGATTTTGAGATTCCGAAATTTTAACTATAAATAAAATTGAAAGTGAAAGTATATTCCTTATTAATGACTTCAGTTTTCAAGGCAACAAAAATAAAGATTTTATATTTTTAAAGGTATTTTGTCTGGATTGCTCAACTACAAGCTTGATTCTCACTGTTTCTACTACTGTTTTTAGTCTATAGATTCTCTAAACTGTTTTTTTCAAAACAAAAAGAAATAGTAATCAACTAAACTTTTAGTCTAAAGTTTACAAAATGGAAATGTGTAAGAATGTTATCATTTTTTTTTTCATTTTTTTAATATTTTTTTATTGGCTAAGTAAAATAACCAATGAACTTTTATTTCAAATTCAAATTCTCTTCTTTAGGCTGTGAACTTAACAATCTACGTGAAATGGTGGTTCAATCTATAAGTCAAGAATGTAAGTCATACTTTGATAGACTTTTTAAATTTTTAAATCCGGAAAAATGTATAACAAACATTTTATATTTCAATAATTTCATTTATAGAATCTTAAGCTTAATGATCTACCTTTATTTTATTTTCACAAAGCTAGATATTATCAAACTTCAACTCTTTGATTAACAATAGATTTATTGTAATCACTCAAATTAAATTTAATATTAATTTTAGCTACCAAAGTGTTGTCTGAAATAGCAACCTGCAAGAATATTTTGGATTTTCTGGATATAAATGATGGCATTATTTCTCTCAAATATCCTGATTTTGTGTTAAGCAATAGCCATTTTCTACAAATTTGCAAAGACAAAAATAAACATAACATAACATTAGAAAATCTTTCATTATTTTTTACAACCTACTGTAAGTATAATATCTCTAGAGTGATGCTTATAAGGATCTTAAAAAAGTTAAAAGGTTACATTGTAAAATTAAATCGAGCCAAAAATTTGGACTTAAAAAACATTTTTTAAGCTCTGCTTTATCTTTTAATGGTGCTTTTTCTGATGTTGTTGGTTTGTTACCTTCTGATGCTTGTTCTACCCCTACTTCTATCTACAATAGTGAAATTGTTCCAAATCAAGTTTCTGTTTTTGTATCTTCTGATTTAAATTTGCAAATTACTAATGATGAATCGTCGTGCCCTGTTACCCCAACTTCTATTATATACATCCCTTTAGAAAATAGGTCTCAAAAATTTCTTACTGAAACGCGTTTTAGTGAAGAGAATCTTCCAGTTTCCAATTTAGATAATAAAAACTACCTTTATTTTCTGGTGATTTGACCTATCAAATAAAAAGATACAAACGGAGAATTAATCACCTTAAATTGCAAAATAGACAAGTTAATAGAAGATGTTATGAATATAAAAAAAAATATCAAGCAATCTTGTCAAAATATAATGTTCGAAATGTCAACAAAAGAGACGTTAGAAAAGATTGTAAGATTAACCAATTGTTGCAATCAAATTTAAGATTAGAAAAAGAAATTGATTTGGCTAGAAAGCGTTCCCAATCAGATCGACAAAAAGCCTGGTATTTAAAGAAAAAAATTGAAAACACTATTTTGAAAACATCTGATGAAACAAATGATTCATTCTTAAAGGAGAGTTTGAATTACTTTGAAAATCTTACAGAAGAGCTGAAAGAAAGAGTTGACATTTTTGAAAAAAATGTAATTGACGTTTATGAAGGAGGTAGATATAATGATGAAATTCGCTCGGTATATTACGACCTTTTAAGTAAAAATGTTTCTGTTAATAATGTTGAATCTGTTATCAGAACTGTACTACAAAAAATGGCTGGAATTTCATGTGGCACACTTCCAAAAAAATTTTTGTGAGATGTTGAATAGTACAAACAATTTTCTTCATACAGATGGCACAAAATATAATTTTAGAAAGGTTGGTAGTTTTCAAGTCACAACATCATCTGGTAGCTACACATTTGGGATAGAAGATATGTTTTCGGGAGAGGCACAATCTTATTTTATAGAGCTAAAAAACTTACTCACTGATATGTCTAAGATATTTTCTCCTGACAAGGAAAACTACGAGAAAGATCTTAGGAAACTTATTTTTTCTTTTAAATCTTTGATGACAGATCGCACTATTGTTAATTCAAGTTTTTTTCACCAATTTAAACATTGGAGAGAAGCAATTTTGCCTTTTGTTGTTGAAAACTATGGTCAGCTTCCTTTAAATGAAAAATTAAAAATTTCTCAAATGCATCATGTTTTTTGTGGCTTACACGTTATCCACAATCTAGGAATATATGCAGAAAAAGCGATAATAGAATGGGAAAAAGTGGTTGAGCAGGAAGGTAGTATTCATGGTGGTTTTAAAAGTTCTCAAAACTCTCGCACCTTTGATATTTTGTATGAACTTTCAAGACTTACAAGCTATCGGCATGGTGATTAGCGAAATAGAAAAGCTAATGAATAAAAGGCATTTTTGCGTAAAAGGTTTTCAAAAAATTTTATGGTTTCATTTCTGCATCATCGCTTTAGTATTATATTTGTACTTGGTGGAGCAACGTATTATCATAAAGACCACCTTAAAGAATTTGTTTTCAATCTTGGTGGTTCAAATTTTCTTCATGAGTCAATTAGGCATGATATTGACAACATCATTTTTCATGCTTCAACTAGAGCTCTGGGAATTTTTAATAAATTGATATCAGGACCTCTTTTTCGTATTATTGAAGAGGAGGGTCATATTTTCTCTTTAAATACCATTTGGTTGCAAAGGTTCAATTATTTTGTTTCTTGTTCTTCTGATGTATCAAAAATGTTAAGTGGTTCTACATTTTTTGATGTAAAATATCTCACCAAGGAAAAAGTGTTTGATCATTTATTTTCTAATTGTAATGACCTACTTTTGGATGCCTTAACACAAGAATGTCTTGAAGTTATATGTTGCACATGTTCGGTTATGATTCAGAGTCAGTTAAGAGCCCAATTGCCTGGAGGAAAATATCACAATCGGGGTGATAATGTGTTTGAAGAAGCTCAAAACTCCCCACGTACTAATGTTGTGTCTGAACGTGACTTTGCTTTCTATGACCGCAGGTTAAAAATGAAACCTAACATGACAACAGTAGCTGCAGCTGGTGTGATCATGTTCAACAACAACAAAACAGCTGATTGGATAGATGAAAAATCACAGGAAGAAATTGAAAGGCTAGTTATATTAGCAAGGCAAAATAGAAAAGGGTATATAAGAAAGTACAGAGAGAAAAAAGCAAATATATTGCAGTACAAAATTGATGAGATAGACAAGCGCAACTTAGAAAAGGAAATAAAGGAACAAAAGGCAAGCGAAGAGAAAGAGTTTTTGACAACAGAAATCGGAAAGGATGGTGGTTTAATTTTGTGTGAAGAGGATTTTGAAAAAATTTTAGGAACTGAAAATGAATTTGTAATGAAGCTGCAAAGACAAATTAAATTTTGAAAAAAAGTATTACAGCAAAAATTTCCAGAAAAGTGGTTACAATTAGGAGAAAAAGCAAAAGGGGAGTATTACAAAAAATTTGGTATTGACAAATTAAAAACCAATCTAATATCAATTTTTAAAAGACGTTCCTGAACAACGCGCAACTGCAATAAAATGTTCAGTTATCAGACAGATTAAAGAAAGACAAGAAATGTTGTTAACATTAAAAAAAAAGTCAGATTAGAGGGTGACGCTAGGTTAATTATGGAAACTGGAAGTAAAATAAGAACAGGCACATCAAAGGGAGGGGTTCCAAAGTTTTTAGGAAAAAGAATAAAACATAAAATAGTAGATAATGATGGCAAAGATGTATGGTATTCAGGGCTTGTGGTAAGTGTTCTAGACGACAATGAATTTGATGAAGAGGGTGAGTTTCAGATACTATATGATGGAAATGAAGATAAGTATGACATTGAGTTGGTCAAAGAGTGGAGGATGAAATGTGTTGTGGTAGAGGGAAAAGCTGATGGTTATGTGGAGGGCGAAGTTTGTAAAAAACAAAAATGCAGTTAATATCATTTTTGACACAATAGGGACTTAATTTATTGTATTTATGTTTGTTATTATTCTTATTATTAATAATATTATTGTTATTATTATTTTTATTGTCATTCAATTTAATGTGTTCTGTTTGATCATCTGGAGCGGTGTTGGCACACCGACAATTCTTTATATGTATATTTGTTTTCTATTGGACATCTGCCGTCATGGTGACATACCCGTAAGTCATGCTTTCTATTTTTGTGCTGACATACCTGTCAATATATGTATCCTTGTGTTTACATTTTTTTGTGTTTGCATGTATGTTTTTGTAGGTGTGTTTGCAATTATTTGCATGTTTGTTTTTACTCACTTGTTAGTCACTATATGCATGTTTGTGTTTATGTATCTGTTAGTCATTATGTGTATGTTTGTGTTCTGTTGGACCTCTGGAGCGGTGTTGGCGCACCCATAAGTCACTATATGTATGTTTGTGTATATGTATCTGTTAGTCATTATGTGTATGTTTGTGTTCTGTCAGACCTCTGGAGCGGTGTTGACACACCCGTAAGTCACTATATGAATGTTTGTGTTTATATACCTGTTACTCATTATGTGTATGTTTGTGTTCTGTTGGACCTCTGGAGCGGTGTTAACGCACCCATAAGTCACTAAATGTATGTTTGTGTTTATGTACCTATCAGTCATTATGTGTATGTTTGTGTTCTGTTGGACCTCTGGAGCGGTGCTGACCCATCCGTAAGTCATTGTATGTATGTTTGTATTTATATAGCCATTAGTCATTATGTGTATCTTTGTGTTTATCTACCTGTAAGTCATTTTATGTATCTTACTCTTTTGTTGGAACTGTGGAATGACTATAATTTCATTTGATAATGCAGGTTAGTCATTTTGATCAAGTTTTTGTTTTTTTTATTTATGTTTGTGTCTGTTGGTCTTGTGGCACAGCGTTCAAACAACAGTAAGTCGTTGTATGTATATTTGTGAGTTGTTCCAACTAGGCTGCAAGCAATCATTGTAGGAGTTGGAAGTTACTGGAAGAGAAAAGATGAAGTTTGTAGAGTAAGATTGCAAATTATATGAAACATGGAAGCAAGATAAAGGAAGCGAATTCCAAAGAACTAATGTTCGAGGAAAAAAATAGAAGAATAAGAGTTTTTGGAGCACTTAGAAACAGTCACAATTATTTTATTAGATAAACAAGGGACTCAAAGACCTTGCTATTTCGAGCAGTGCCTATATTTGTAGAAAAGAGAAGGAGAAGCACCATTACAACGATGTGATAATGGTTGGAGGTTGGCTGCAAGAGCAGGTCCAACTATGTTTACAATGCATTTTTGCTCCTTGTCTAAAAGAGAAAGAGGGCGTCATTAGAATATCGTTTTTTGCAGTGTTTAGTGCCACAGGGTCTGTGTGTTTTGTGATTGTGATGTTTTGTGTTGATAGACAACTTGGCTTACCTTCTCGCTGGTGTCTATCGTTACTGAAACTACTTCTAATCATTCACTAAAAGCTAAGAGATGAATTTTAGACAAACAATATTTTTTGTTTTAATGTTGTTTTCATTTTTTCATCTTAGGTGTTGTCAATAGTTCACAAATCTCAAAAAATAAGTTTCTTATTTTATATTTATTTAGTTTTATTTAACTTTTTTTAATTTTTAATTTTTAAAATGAATTAACAAATATTTTTTTTTAATTATTGTGTATCTAATGTTATTTTATGTATTATTGTATGTATTTAGATGTATTGTTTTTAATAATAATTTTATTACAATTTTAGGTAGAGTTCTGCTGTTACACCTACTATTATGTTGTAAGTACTCAAAATTTCAGGAAGTTCTGTTGCTGCAGAACTTCCTGAAATTTTGAGTATTGAAATTTTGATTTCTGTTCCATGATTCCTTTATGCATATTTGCAAAGTGCAACCATAATTTTTTTCATCATAACACAGTTAAATAAGTAGAAACCCTTCAGTCTGTAAAATAAACAATTCGAGATCATCCCAACAGATTTAATAAAAACTGGATCACTATTAAAAATTTAAAGTCAAATGTAATAACGGTTCGAAAATATCAAAATTTTTAAAAAAATTACAAATTATTTAAAGTTGAT